AACTTGGAAATTTTTATTGAAACTTTGCAGGATGTTTGTTTAGTCAATTATTTATTAGTTTATCACAAAAAAAAAATTGTAAGGAAATGCATTGCATGATGGATTTAACTGATTTAAGTTGATTATATTGCGAGCTAGCAAGCATTGTGAGTGTAGACAATATGTAGTAATTAATGAAAGAAGTTTAAACACACCATAATCATTTATATATAATGAATTAGTACAATATTTTACACTTTATACATTGCATGGTAAGATACATGAGTGACTTAGTACTACATAGAGTTCCTATGAGGTTCAAAATTTTCACTATCTTCATCATTTCTATGTGTAGAGTAAGTGTATTGTGAAGAGTAGTCAGCAACCATGGCAATGGCTTTCAAGAACCAAAACCCAAAAGTCAATAGGAAACTGAATACTTTGGTATTTTTCGGGATTTCGGGATTACCAAACAAATGGGATTTGGAAACCATCCCATATAAAAAATTTCTGTATTTTTCGGGATGGTTTTGGTTTGGGATTTTTCGGTTTGGGTTTGGGACTTTTTCGGTTTGGTTTGGGATTTTCGGGAATTTTTTCCAGCACTACCATGTAAGTGACCAAATAAAAAATAGAAAAATTAAAAACCACATACCATTGACTAAGTAATTAATTGACATAATTTAAAATATAATACCACAAAAAATTTGGAATATGTGCAAATTTGTTTCTTGTAAAAAGAATTCAAACCAAAACCATATATATAACTATTTTAGCATATCAACACGAAAACATAAGTGACATAGTGGTTAAGGCGTTGAAGGAGTGAAATTGGAGGGGTTCGAATCCCTCTATGCTCAAAGTTGAGATTTTTAAGAAATTTTCAAATATTTTTTGATTTCATATCGCGATAATATCACAATATTATTAATGATAATTAAGGGGATAAGTCACGAAATATCGTTATCTCAAAAAAACGATAATATCGGCGATATTTCGTCGATATTTTCGATATTTTGGTCTTTGATCGGCACCACCTCACCACTCAATCGAACCAAACCATCTTCTCCAACGTACACCACCTTCTCCCACCATATCCTCCGATCTACCGCCGCACCCGAGGCCTAGATCGACGACCCCACACCAATAATTCTGACGAGTAGCAGAAGATTTCGGAAAAACCCACCTTCTCCCGATGGGTTCATTTTTCTTTTGGTGGGGAGGGCTGCCATGGCAGCAAGCTTACGCGAAGAAGTCCACGAAAAAAATAATAATAAAAAACTGAAAATATGACTTTAACCCCTCAAATTCAATTTTTTCGATACAAAACCGGACATAAATTTTTTACTCAAAAAAACCCAGTGACTAGGATCCACCTAAGTGAATTCATTAATTACATATTACTTTACACATTTTACATTTTTTAGATGCCTAAAATACTCCTATTGCATATTTGATGTGCACAATTAATTCTATGCAGATTGTAAGGAGAGAGTTAATGATTTTGCAAAAAGAAAAAATAAGACATTAATGTTAAAAAATTCATTGCATATTAATATCAAATATGAGAATTGTTGGATTAATTCTATGTATCTGACATTATGAGTTCATATATATATTTTTACAAAAAAAAAAAAAGAAAAAAAAAACCTAATATATGTAATAATACATAAAAGAAAAAGTAATTTACCTACCATGTGCAAAAATGTTATTTGATTCAAAATGTGTATATATATATATGTGCGTGTGTGTGTGTGTGTGTGTGTGTGTATTTATATAATTAGACCATATTCATTTACCTACCTAGTATTTGAAATGTTCATTTCCAATTATGCAAAATATTGTATACCAAAAACAAAATATTGCATAACCTTAGGAATTGAATCATGCTTTTGATTTTATCTTTTACCTACAAACAATCATATACATATCACTTTATATATTTTTACCAAAAAGGTCCCTAATAGGCTAATATATGTAATAATACATGAAAAATAATTTACTTACCATGTATACAAAAATGTTATTTGATTCAAAATATATAATCTAGGTTTTCTCAAAAAAAAAAAAAAAATAAAAAAATAAATAAATAAAATATATATATATATATATATATATAATCTAGGTGTAGTGTGCGTGTGTGTATATTTTTTATATAATTGGAACAAATTAATTTACCTACCTACAAATTAATTTCCAATAATTTACCTACAAAAAATAATACCCCGTGTGTAATATTGTGACATCCCATATCGCCCAGAGGAGTGGATCCTATAAGCCTTATATGTATATTTCCATCTCTACCTAGCACGAGGCTTTTTGGGAGCTCACTGGCTTCGGGTTCCGTAGGAACTCCGAAGTTAAGCGAGTTCACGCGAGAGCAATCCCATGAGTTCCCAGAAATAAAACTGTGAGGGCATGGTCGAGGCCCAAAGCGGACAATATCATGCTACGGTGGAGTCGAGCCCAGAATGTGGTAGGGGCTCGGGCCGGGATCTGACAAATATAATATCTTCTTTTCACTAATACATGGAGAATAATTTACCCATAACAAGAACAAATATAATTTGATGTATTATATTGAAAAATATTATGTCATACCTATATTTATACAACAATAAAACGTGCCTAATATATGTAACAATACATGAAAAATAATTTACCTACAAGTTAGAGAAGTGTTATTTGATTCAAAATATATAATACGGATTTAGTATAATTTTTTTTAATAATTGGAACAAATTAATTTACTTCCCAATTAGGAATAAATTTAGGGATTTGGAAAAGTGACATGGGTGTAAATAAATTGTATTAGTAGGTTAATAGTTTTCCGATGTGGCTCTAGATTTTAAATTTGAGCTTTTATTGGACGTTTATATGTAAATGAGTTTTTATCTAGGAATTATGAATTGTAAGGACCAAAATCTAAAGCACAAAAAAAAAAAAAATTTTGACAAAAATATTTTATTATTATTTAAATATTTTTAATCAGCATGACAATAATTAATTAGATTTGTGGGCCTAATTATGTGCCACATTAGTACATAACATAATTTTTGACAGAATTGTGACGGAATGACTACATTGATTTGCGATGATCATTTTCAAGGACTACATTAATCGATTTTCAATTTCAGAGACTATCTTGATGACGTGGGTCAATTTCAATGACCATTTGTGATAAAAACCCTTAAAAGAATGGGTGATACCTCAAAAACTTTGCACTTTTCCTTTCTTAAAAAGACTAATGTACAACGCTATCAAAGAAAGCTTAAGAAAGTTGAGGTTTCATCATTAATTAATTAATATAAAAAGTATAGTAGTTCAAATTACTTTAAATACTTGCATGGTTTCTCTTTTTTCCGATGTGAGATTAATACTCTCAACAGAAGCAAACTCATATTTTTATTTTGACACGCTACTTTTGAAGGAAAGAATCGAACACCTCTCTTTAAGTGCATCAATAAGCGTTCTTAATAATTTAAGGTGCAAATTCACATTGAAAACTCCAGTAGTTAAGTATGTTCTGCAATTCACATCTTCGAATCAAGAAAAAGAAAATTATGAGTTCACAAAAAACGATCGTAATCAGGAAAATTCATTAAGGAGGGGAAAAAAATAAAAGTGTCTGATATTTGCTCACCAAACACAAATAATTGACAACCAAAAAAGAAGACAATTAATTAGTTTAATAGGGAAACGACAACGCGGTCTGTGTCACAAGTCATGAACCTTGTGATTCATGAGGGTGATGAGTTGTGGAAGCGCCCACAGTGCATGATGCAACATGGATGATCACCGCATCTAAATTCCATTATTGCGTTCATAATTTCCATTAATTAACACAATACAAAAGATAAACAAAGACTCAGCTCAACATTTAATTCGATAATTGGTTGGAGAAAAGGGAAAATGACATCTGACTCCTCACAGGCCAACAAAATGCAAACATGATGATGATGCTGTTCACATCGTCTCTCTCTTGAGTTGTAACAAGACGAGAGACAATATATATGTTGAGTTTTACGTTTTGTCTAGATCATCCAATTGAATCACAAGGATGTGCAAAAGCTGATTCGGATTGTTAATGAGACCTGATTTTGAGCGTTAATGCATTGAGCAACGCTCGTTGGGGTACTATCAAAGATTCTTTTTCTGCTCTTCTAAGTTTTTCATTTTGAAGGTTTGTAAGTCATTTTTTATATGAGTCATTAGATTCATTAAGTATTCAATTATAATAACCATGTTACACCAAAACACAATAATTTTGTAAAGTTATTAATAAAAAAAAATTTCTCACGTGAAACCTTTCGTCTTCTTCCGTTACCGTCACTCTCCTCCGGAGTAGGATTCTCTCCCCTTTTTTTTTCCCTCTCCTTTCCTCCTCTCCCATTTGAACGGTCACAGTTAAGTCATGTCAACATCTTATATTAATTTTTTATAGAAAGAAAAAGATAAAATAGAGAATGTGAGAGGAAGGGATGAAAAGAGAAGGGGAGAGAATCCTAATCCCTCTCCTCCACATCCCATTCCTCCCTCCATCTCTCTCAATCGTTCACTCCTCTTATCTGCTCCTGAATTTTTTGTTTTTCGCATATGAAAAAGGGAGGAGGACAAATGGGCTTCAGACCCAAAACACAAATGGGCTTGACACCCAATTTGAATAAAGTCTAATTTGAGCAGAAATAAGGGTAAGTAAGATTTCTCACTTTTATTTCCTAGGTAAAATTTGAAATTATCTTGGTACATTAACGTTTCAAATTGTATAAAATGGTCCCATGGCAGACTATAAACTACATAAGAAGTTATCATGTCAAATTGTTAATCTAAATATATATATATAAATTAGTCTGTATTTATTGTATCCACAGTCTGACAAGAGAACATTACTCTTCAAACTGATAAAACTTAAAGCTCAAAAGAACCATATATCCTACGGAGTTTTAACGGTCTTAAAAAGTAGTATTGCATCACCATTTCATACTCCTATAATTCCCATATTCCATAGACATCTTAAGAGAGGCACAAATAAAGATTTATATCATAGTTTTTATAAGTTACTACACAAAAAAAAAGAAAAAAAAACAGAAAAAGAAAAAAGAAATACAGCTGAAAAAAAGGAAGACCCAAAGATTGTCTTCCACTTGCACTTATGTTTCTAACTGCTAGCTTTTGGTCGTGGTTCTTCACTCTTCCATTTCTTGAAGCTTAATCGAGTTTGTAGGCACTGCCATGGCCATGGCCATATATGAACCTTGCCGTTCCTTCTGTATACACATGAGTCTCATTGACCATCCTGCCAACAACCCATAATACTAGCTTCAATCAGTAGCTGCTTAATTAATTATTATTAAGAGGAAAATCAACATATTAGGCACCCGACTTACGATTTCCGAACAGCTTTGCTCAAGGTAGAGGCTGATGAAAATGTTTTTCCATCTAGGTATCTATTATCCCCTGTGATCCTCTGTTTAATTCTGAGGTCTAATTCATCAGCACTCAGCTCAATAGGGGTGTCTGAAGCCTGCCATTTTAAACAATTACTTAGGGTCCCTAATGTCACTTAAAATACAAAATGGCGTCGCTTAAAGAAGTAAATAAGAAGATTGGTTTTATAGTGAAGGTGCTAGTTTTTGTACCATGATCCATCCCCATATATCGGCATAAGAAGGAATATGAGCTGAATAAGGCACAACATCTGCAGACAGATGAATTATAAGAAAAGAGAAGAGAAAAAATTGATTTAAAAAGAAAAAAAAAAAAAAAAAAAGGAGATAGGGAACTCATTTTCTTAGTCAGTATAACTTACATCTGAAGACCTGCCTCAAAGTATTGTAAATGCAGGAGAAAACTTCTGTATGGCTGAAAATTCCAGCAGGACCTGCCTGCATATGAAAAAGAAAAGTGATTAATTCTGTGATTAGGGTTCTGTTTCTGTGGGTGATAATTTTTTTGTTTGTTGACAAGACAGTACATACAGGTGAACACGCTGCCCTTACTAACTAGGATATCGCATGCATGAGTGTGTTTAAGTTACCTGTGTGACAAAAATGCCTTCCTTGCTGAGTCTAGGCTTGACAATTAATTCATAGAAGGATTTGGTGTAGAGTTTATAACATGGACCTCCTTCTATTGGGTCTGCAAGGTCACCAATGATCACATCATACTGCTCTTCTCTGTGTTCTAGCTCAGCCCTGCAACACCCCCAATAATATTAATTGTGACACATAAGCTCTCCGTGTACGACGTTTTTCCTTTAACAGTAGTTAAGTGTTGTATCGATAAGGTTATAAAGCCGGCATCATTGATATAAATGTGTATGCTGAGAATAAACCTGGCATCATTGATGATGAGCTCCAATCTTGGATCACAGAATGCTTCACTGTTTACAATCAAATATGACTTGCAGAACCCTACCACCTCCTGCATTAGTATTGCAGCTTATGGTGAATAATTTTGTCCTATCATATACAATATGTTGTCACTTGTAAGTTGCAAGCCAGACAAATCCCAAAACAGTATTTTCGAAAAATTAAAATTCTTTTTTGTGCTTCCACAGCCAATCCTCCTTTTTGTCTTTTTCAAACAACGAGACAAATGAAAAGCAGCTCAAAACCGGACACAGTGCGACTTATGGAGGGAGGTTTTATTTTACCTCATCAATGTCACACATGAGAACCTTCTCCACAGTCCTGTGTCTCAGAAGCTCTCTTGCAGTGGAGCCTTCACCTCCTCCCATGATGAAGATGCTCTTTGGACTGAAGTTGACATCAATTAAGAGAGATATTAACATTGTTGCTTTTAACATCTAGTATATATAAACCTCGGCGAAACGACATAAATTTTATTGATATGGAACAGAGAATTTAGGTACTTGGGATGATGAAGAAGTGGCGGGTGCACAAGACATTCATGGTAGATAAATTCATCCGTCTCAGCACTTTGAAGCTTTCCATCAATCACTAAAGCCTGCAAATACAGAAGAGAAAATGGAATGAGTAATTTGCTGCAATTTAATTTGTTATCATCGATCATTTTACTTAATTAAGAGTAGGATTGATCAAAACCTTTCCAAAGGGCTTCGTGTCCAGCAATGCAATGTCTTGGAATGGAGTAGCTCCTGTATGCAATATACTGCAAACAAAAAAATAATTAATTAACTAAAGAAAGTTTGGTTAAATATATTAAGGGAGATTTTGGATGCGGTCCCTAGTTATGAATAATCTTTGACTAAAACTTTGTTGGTTTTCAATTTTTGATCCAAGTCCCTAAAATTAATTGATAATTTATTTCTATGTACGTTACTATATTTTTTAAATTAAAAATTAAAATTTATAGTTGTTTATAGTAATGAGATTTTAAATAAAAAACATAATTTGTGGGATTAAAAATATTAAAATATAAATATACTATTGTGTGTGTGTGTGTAAACATGGGTACATTCATAAAAAATAACCAAAAAATTATTGTATCAAAACATGGGTACATTCTTCAAAATGGGTACAAATAAATAAAAAAATATGGGTACAATACAAATAAAACTTTAAAAAATATGGGCACAAAAAGAAATTAATATATGGGTACAAATTAAAATTGAAAGGAAAATTGGTACAAATTAAAAAAGGGTTGCAAATTAAAAATGGGTACAAACTAAAAATAAAAATATATGATAAAAATTTAGCCATAAATATAAATATACTAATTGTAACATTTTTAATATTAAATGAAAATATTTAGAAATAAAAAATATTTTATTATTGAAATAATTAATGATATTATTAATACAAAGGACCTTGATAAAAAATTGAAAAGTAATAAGGTTTTAATCAATAGAGTAGTAAAAATAAGGATGAAAACCTAATTACTCCATATATTAATCAGGAAACCAAACTTTGTGGTTAGAACACTAACACTATTCTAACATTATTATGTCTTGTCTAACCTTTTCATGACCATGATATTTGGATTGGGGGTAGAAAGAGTGTTTCACTTTTAAGAATTCTTTCATTTTTCTAAAGTAGGAGTTTTGACACTAAGATTGTAAAATGTCAGAAAAGGTATTATCTACATAATAATTTTGTCTATTGTAGACATGGTGAAAAATTCCTAATGATTTTGCCTATAGACATCTCATAAATTTACAATCAAAATAAAAAACCACTAAGTCGAGCTTGATAGCATGAGAAACGACTAAATAAAAGAACCAAAAAAAACATAGGTAGTAAAAAAGGTTAAGCAACAAGAATTGAAAACATTTTTGAAAATTGAGTGAACTTCAGGTAGTAAAAGATGGTGACAGTTAATGTACCTATTAAGAGCAAAGCTCCATCTCAAATTTTCTTCAATTTCTTCCTCATACCAACAACTCTTCCTGTATCCATTCAGCACTGAATATCCCTTGCCATTCACTCCATTTCCATTCGCATTCCCATTCCCGTTGTTGGTTCCATTGGAATCAGGAATATCGCCCATTTTTCTAACTTAGATATCCCAAAAAATACTTCGCAAAACAGGATGAGTCTCTGTGTGTGTGTGTGTGTGTGTGTGAATGAGAGAGATATAGAGAGAGGGGTAAGTGATGGAGAAGTCAGGAGGGGTTTCACAATATAAGAAGGAAAAAGGTGGCAGCCAAATCGAAAGGTACCATGATTTAGGGTTGGATTAAAAACCAGAGAAAAGAAGGAAAGGGAAATCTGTTGAAGTGGTTGTGCCTGAGAACGACACAAAAGCATGCAGCCCCAACATATATTCATTGGAATTCGTAAAGTAAGGGAAAACTGGGACTATTTTTAGGATTTGGTTGCGTGGATTTAATATCTTGTTCTTTATTCGTAAAACAGTATCATCAAATTCTTCAATATACGTGATTGAAATTGTAGGCCTGCAAGTAGTTCCCTTAGAAATACGTAAACATACCGTATGGGAGTTTTTGTAATTGGGGGATGGTTTGGTTTTGGCGTCAACTAAGGGTTTTCACAATGTTATTTTCGAAAGCAACTCGCTTCAAATTATCTCAGTTTTACGGGATTCTGCCATTAACATGTCATATGTTGGTCATATTATTGAAGAATCTAAAATCCTATTGAAATCGATCACTGAGGCTTCTTATACCCACGTTCGCCGTCAAGCCAACGATACTGCTCATCTCCTAGCCCACTACAGACTTAGAAATGCTAGTCCTTTTGTTTGGTTAGATTCCCCTCTGGGCTTTTTAGCCGATGTCCTTCTCGAGGGTGTCCTCTCTATGATGGACTGAGCATTTGCTTCTTTTTGTATGTCTTTCTCTTTCATCCATGAAATGAAAATCTATCGTTTTTATCAACAATAAAAAAAAAAGAAAGAAATACGCAAACATACTGATGCTGTTATATATGCACGTGTCATGGTCATACTATGTATGCATGTTTGGTAATTTTTATTTCTTTACCCAGTGATATTCAAAACAGTGCAATCTACAATCAGAAAACTTGAACTCATGTGAAACAAGATGGACGCACTGTTCTAACTAATTAGTTTTACTCGTATACTTTTGATGATATTAATTTTATTAGTTAAAAATAGGGTATTGGAGGATGGAGAAAAGGGGGAAAAGGATAAAAGATGATGATGAGGGGGTGACAACAAGCGAAAATTCTGGTTATACTCTTTTTCTTCGAGAATGTGTGCAAATCTTGGTTGAAGAAGAGAGAGAGGAGCGTGCACTGGAAACCATCATAACATTCTCTTTGCTTCAAAAGATTTGGAGGGCGTGCTGGCAGGCGCACTCATCATAACCCTCAACCATTTACGCATCAATTATCTCCCCCAAACAGGAAGTGTTAAAGTTCAACCCCATACCCTCCGTAAAACATATACGTAAGAAATAAAAGATTATAGAGTTTTTATCACAAATGATCTTTGAATTTGATACACACTATTACGATAATCCCTGAAATTAAAAATTGTAGTTCTTAAAAATAGGTGTCGTAAATTAATATGGTCATTTTGTCATAATTCTGTAAAAAATTATATTATATGCTGGTGTGGCACATAAATGGATTCTATAAAATTTACGAGTTTTTATTACAGATGGTCACTGAAACTGAAAATCGATCAATGTAGTCCTTAAAAATAGGTGTCATAAATCAATATGATATTTTCATCACAATTCTGTCAAAATTTTATTATGTGCTCATGTGGGTTTAATAATTTAATGATCAATTAAAAAAAGTTGTCAAAATACCTTTTTGCACAATGGAATTATGTCAATGCAGAGCTTGCCGTTCCCCGCATCACTAAGACCACCAGGGAAGCACCCAATAAGCTCTCCAATATTAAGGTTATGAGGATGTCGATCGCCAAAATGTTATGATAATTTCATAGAAGTAGTCGGCAATCCAAGCTATCACTAAATGTGGTCTCGATCCTGATCAAATTCGGTGAAGAGTGTCGAAGGCCGTTAAGATGGATGTCCTAAGGATTTTTTTTATTTTTTATTTTCTTCAGAGAAGATACTATTGAGGGCTACCATAGATGGAGGTAGAAGAGTGTGGGATGAGATCAGAGGTGATTACGGGCTTGAGTTTTTGGATTGACAATTTTTTCAATTAATTATTAAACTATTGAACCTATTTCTAATTTAATTAGACTTGTGGATTCCATTTATGTACTGCATCAGCACATAACAATTTTTTTTGACAAAATTGTGACAGAAAGACCACATTGATTCGAGACACATATTTCTAGATCTACATTGATCGATTGTCAATTTCAAGGACCATCTTCATAGTGTGAGTCAATTTTAGGGACCATTTGTGATTAAAAAAAAGGACTTATGGACCCACTTATGTGCCACATCAGCACATAATAGAATTTTTGACAAAATTGTGAGGAAATAACCACATTGATTTGCAACACCTATTTTTAGGGACTACATTGTTCAACTTTCAATTTTAGGGACCATCTTGATGGTGTGTGTCAATTTCAGGGACCATTTGTAATAAAAACCTAAAATTATAAATGGAAGAAGTTCTGGCCCTAGCTACCTACCAACTTGCTATTTAGTTTTTATTTTGGATAATGTTAGGGAGACCTAATTTTTAAATCAAATTTTGTAAACCAAATGATATGGTTGTTGATGACTGGATTATTACGTAAGTGTTGATTAACGTACTTATTTCCTATGAGTAATGTTATAGAGACTAAATTTATAGACTAAAATTGCAAACTAAATGATGTGTCACCAATAAGAAATGAGCATGTTTATCAACGTTTAAGTAATAATTCAATCATCAACTTCCATGTCATTTAGTTTATAAAACTTAGTATATAAATTTAGTCTCCCTAGCAGTACTCATTTCCTATTGGTGACATCATTTGATTTGTGAGTTTAAAATTTTGGCTTACTTAGCATTACTCTTTACTTTCTGACATGTTATTTGAATATTAGAAGATGTCTGTAATTTATCTGGAAATTATTTGTTAGGTTATATTATTTTAAGAGTTGTTTGTAAGACTATGGCAATATGAGCTATGACATGTTTACAGAAGAGAAAAAAATTGTGCTAATAGTTTGCCAAAACTACAGTCTTGTTGTAGAATGAGGAAGTCATTATTTTGATAATCCCTCTTCTTGTTGCAAATAGTTTATTTGAGATTTCCAAGCTTAGTGAAAATGGTATGTCACATCTACACACAAAATCACTCTGATCCAAATGTCATATGCTTTGTTTTGCTATAGCATGTCAACAAACTATATATTCAATCTTATGCAACAATTTGTGGGTATAATTAACGAGATTAAATCTTTTGTACTCAAAATTCTTTGTGATCTTTTTGTAACCTATTTCATTGTTGACAGTTGACCATTCATTTAAATTTTATTTTAATAGTTAAATAAATAGGTCACTGAAAGGCCACAAAGAGTTTTAAGTGCAAAAGATTCGAACTCTTAGTTAAGGGGGTCCAAGAGAGTCCACTAGTGTCGTAAGGTTGGCAATAGAATGATGTGTGAAAGACCAAATAAAAAGTAACAAAATAAAAAGAACAAGATAAAAGCCTATGTGCCATAGGAGAGAGGCTCTATATTGAGAAGTGGTGGCGTTCTATTTGATGCAGGCCAGCTATGAATACTAAGGAAATCATTCTTGTTACTTGCAGTGTGTTTTGGTTTGGGGGTGACGATGGATTCGGCCAAACTCTTGTTTTAGAAAGGTTATGATGACCTCAAAGGCCTCAAGCTCCAACTCAGAGGTCCCCGGGATAATATTTTGTTCCCCTAATCTTTTACTTGCTTCCTTCTCCCTCTTCAAGACCTGTAAAAATCATTGCACTGGCCTAAACTTTGTCACCCAACAAATCATATGACATGATTTTATAGATTTCTTATTTGCTTGCCTTGCTGCACATAAAATGATGTCTCATCTTCATTTCCCATAATGATTCATGCCATGACTTTGCTTTGTTATATTATGCGTATCTTCTTCATTTCTAGTCAAGTTTGAACTTAAATGTCGACGATTGGATCAGATTTGCATCGGAAAGTTAAAACTCATATATAACTTTTGAGTTAAACTAAAAGTTATATATCTGTTTTTTAAGTAATTAGAGTTATATTTAAAATTTCCAAAAATTATTTGAGTGTAAAGGTGAATGTCAAGCAAAGAGAACAACTTCATTCCAACCAAAAAAAAAAAAAAAAAACATTTGAGTCACATGTAAAATTTAAAATGGGGTGTGCTAACCACACACCCCAAATTACTTCTCACACACCCTTATTAATTTCTATCCGTTGATCTTCTTCAATTCATCCGATCCGACGGCCGAAAATTAGAAGGGTGTGTGAGAAGTAAAATGGGGTGTGTGGATATCACACCCCTTTAAAATTTGTAATCAAGTGCATGAGGAGAAAAATAAGAAAACTCAAACCCATGTACCACCCCATTTGAACTCAAATATAAAAAATATAGTGTAATGATTTCAACTCTAGCATTTGATCATTTCATTATGGAGAAAAATAAAACAAGAAAGATGCACTTTTTGAAATATTTATGATTTTTTTTTAATTAAAGAAGATCTCAGGAATGGTTCTGTATGAATGACTACATTTTTCTAACAATTCAGAGTTAAACCAGGTATTGTTTGGTAATTTCAAAAATCTAATATTGATTCGTTTGTTATTGCTTAAAATGAGGTTGGGGTTTTTGAAGAACTTGTTCTTTAGGGAATTGTAAAGTCTGGGAATTGATTTAGAAGTATGCTTCTACTACTCATCAGATTCGCAGCTAGATGAAGATAGGAGAGAAATTTGGAAACCATAAAGCTAGATGGGTCTCTTTCCTATGCGAATCATAAATCTACAAAGCCACCTCGTGTTATTGATAAATCTACACAACTTCCTAATGCATTCATAGTTATATGTGTCTGTCATCATTAGGTTAATTAATTAGAAGTAGAATATATACCCTATAACTCTTCCAAATGGGAATGGAAGAGAAGAGCAAGTCAAACCTCGCAGTAAGTATATAAACTTAAGAATTGTCCTTTTAGGAAAACCAAGAAGAGCAAGATGAAGAAACCTACGCTACCAAATATTTTAGGAGAACCAAGAAGAGCAAGATGATTTTTTTATAGTTACTTACTCAAATTTATGTATTTTGCAGTATTTTATTGTTAATTTTAGATACATTTGTTAATTATTTTTAGGGTAATTTTATTTAGACCCAACAATACTCTTTCTACACCTAGCTAAAAAAAAAACTTTCTCTGTAATTTCTATATTACCCCTTATACAAAATAAAATAAGAAAATGAAAATTAAATATCTTTCTACACCCATTCAACTAAGATAGCACCCACGTGCATGATGCAGCGCCACCACTCAACCACCACTTCAGACCTCCCTCTTCCTTCTCCTGCATGTGGAAGTTAGGCGGGATTGCTAAATCAACCATCGCCTTCAACAACCCGACCCAATACAAAATCCATTTGACTCCATTTTGGACTTCTGCAACAAGTCGCTTACGGAGTCAATGATGCCACTTAGTTTTGCCTCTTAACAGCAAGGCCCTATCATGCGCATGAGAAGAAAAATAGAAAGATTCACTGGACATTTGGTGGAGTAGCCACCGCAAAGAATTGGTGGGTGTGGGAGAGGTGGGGGGAACACACCGAGAATATCAGGAAAAAATAGTCGGCATGGAGATAGACCCAACAAATACAGGGAGGAGCCAGCCGAAGGCGAGAGAATAGTCGAGGAAATGGGTATGATTAGTTTTTCTTTTTCCAGTTTATATATGTTTATAATTTATGAGGGTAAACTAAAGAGTTTAGTTAACAAAATATTAAAGTTGGGTTTCGAGAGAGGAAAACTTGTCCAAATAAAATTTCTCTTATTTTTAATATACCACAAAATTAATAGTGTTATTAGACCCACCACCTCAGTGTCTTATTTTTCCATCCACATGATAATCTCACCCACAATAAAAAATTAAAAAAGTGAAATGTTATTTTTCCACTCACCATTGTTTCCAAAATAACCCTAGTATTTTTTTTTTAAATAACTTTAATACATCTTTGAATAATATTTATAAATAAATAAATAAAAACAAAAAAATGAAAGCAAATGCAAGACCTAAGACCTAGATTCATCATGTAAGACCTAAGACCTGGACATTCATCATCTTCTTCAAACCACACGTGTCCTTCAAATCATGGCATCCATTTCCTAATATCTCTTCCTACTAATCCCAAATCTACCAGCCCGATCTCTCTCCAGATCCCCACCCTCTATTTTCACCGAGTTCCATAACTATGGCCCAATATTCCCGGCAAACCCTAGTACTCACACCTATCGTCGCCCCACAGAGACTCGTTTCCCCAAACCACTCCTCTTCCTCCTTTTCTATCAAAGCCGCAGATCTCACCCTCAAGTCTCTTTTGCCTCCATTGAAGTTTCTCGCCCTTGTCTTGCACACACCCATTCCTTACTCCAACCTTTCCGTCAATTCTAGCCCAAATCTTTCCCGGCCTCTCTCCACCAAAGATACCACACCCAACCCATCGTTATTTATTTATTATTTAAATTTTTTTTTCAAAAGTTTAGTAGTTAATTAAATAAGAGTTTAAGAATATTAACATTTCATTAAATGGTGGGTAGGGAAATAAGACTTAGGGGTGGGAATATCAGCATTGGAAATTAATTGAATTTATACATGAGTTTGTAATATATATTATGAAAGAACAATAAACTTTATGTACGAAGAAGTTCAAGAATACTAAAAAATCTAAAAAATATATAGAATTTCATAATTACGTTCCAAAATTTTCGAAATTACTCAAAATTAAAGTTTGTAATTTGAAAATTGTGATCCAATCCGATTCGGTTCCTAAATTTTAAAATGAAAATTAGAAACATCATTTTCAATCCAATCCTTCAGAAAATCACCTCTAGACCAGATTCATGGACATTCATGTTTTCATTCGTATTGGTGATTCTAAGTAAGTAAATAGAGCTTAAGACATTGTTTGACCCGAATAAAACAGAGCCCAATAGGCCCAGGTTGCAGCTCAATGCTTCCAACCCTGTAAAACCCCAGGCGGCATTCTCTAAACCCTCTACTGTATTCTGAATCTCAACTTCTCATCTCCTTGTAAAATCTGCACTTGTTCTTCTTCTTCTTCTCACCCAGGTATTCCATCTTCCTTGAATTTCTTTGTCTATTTTTATTTTACTACTTGGGATTTAACTAAGCTTATAATATTGAGAAATTTCTCCTTTTTAATGGAAAAATCGCTCTTTTTTTTCTTTTTTTTTTTTCTGAAACCCATTGCAATTTTCTCTTACCCTCTTTACTGTCTGCCTAAACTCGCTTAATTTTTTTTTTAAATTTTATTAATTTCTAGCTTTAATTTTTTTAAGGAAGTCTAAAACCTTGTTTCATCTGTTGATTTTTCTTTTGGGGTTTTGGGGTGTTTGTGTATGTCTTTGAGGCCGACGTAGTAAAATGTTGAGTTAAATTCAGAGGAATTGGAGTTGTGGGTTTTGAGTAGGGTTTAGATCAAATATACCGGAAGTGAAGGTTATTGATTGATTTTATCTGGATTTTTAAAATTTTAATCTTTGCATTGAAGGTTGATTGGCAAGTATGTGTCACAGACTTGAGACAATCGAGATAAGCCTCGAATGGAAATTCCCGTAACAGATTAATGTGGGATATATTCTGCATTTGAGAGTCATTAGGAAGTGGGTTCCAATGATTTGGTTATTCCACCGTACCTGTTCATTGTAATCTTCATGGAGGAAGGTTTCTGCTGTAATGGGTTTTCGTGATTAAAACGAAGATAAAAGATGGTCCTTTCGTTACTGATGTTTTCGTACAAGTGTAATAGTTGTTGAGGGTGTTGATTGGATGGTGAAAACAAACTTAGCTTCTTCTCCGTGAGTTAATGTTCTTTATTTGAATTACTTCCTTTTGGTTAGTGAAGTGTTTTTTTTTTTTTTTTTTTTTAAATTTACTTCCGTTTGGTTAGTGAACTGTAGGCATGAGCAATGATATAGAATAGCCATTTTGTTGCTGAAACAAAGGTATTATGCAATAATTTATGGAACTTTGCAGTTTGGTTGTTATCACGTTTAAATTTTAGACAGTGATTACTTTAGCTACTATTTGTTTCTTGTTATCTATGGCGTTTCCTAAGTTGGTTATTGTGAAGTTCTAACAGATGGAGTACGTGAGCCCAGAAGGTCTTCGCTTAGATGGTCGGCGGCCCATGGAAGTATTTTTCCATCTCTCAATTTTCCATTGTGTTGAATCATCACCAGTATAAAGTTTCAATTAGTTTATAAAATATTTTTTTTCTGTGATCCCAGATGAGACAAATCCGAGGAGAGATTGGTGTTGTGGAAAAAGCCGATGGGTTCTAATTACTAAAACCTTGATTCTTCTTTTCTAATCTTTGTAATTTTTTTTTTAAAGTTGATCTTTCATATCAAATTTCAGTTCTGCTGTGTTTGAGATGGGGAACACCAAAGTCATTGCTGCAGTGTATGGCCCTCGAGAGGTTAGCTAATTCTTTTTTCTTCATTCTATTATTTCGAGCTAAAATTTTAATGAACTTGTGCGTGGTACTCATTATTATTTAAAATGTCTTGTCCGATTTTCAATTTAAATATACTTTTGTTTTCTAGGTCCAAAATAGGAGCCAGCAGATGAATGACAAGGCACTGGTAATAGTTCATCTAATTCTCTGTGTATTAAATTTATCTGTGTTGTGGTGAATATGATAAACGGAACAGGCATGTATTATATTCGTAAATGTAATGTCATTAGCCATTGTTAATAAGTTTAGGTGCGGTGTGAGTACACCATGGCAAATTTTAGTACTGGAGATCGCATGAGGAAACCAAAGGGTGATAGGTGATATATTCTATTCTCTTTCATTTTCATACATACATGTTGGATCATCTTCAATTTAAAATTTAACATAAGAGTGTTGTATCCATAACTAAATTAAACTATATAACTAAAATGTACATTTTTATGCTCTCAGACGATCCACAGAGATTTCTCTTGTTATTCGGCAAACCATGGAAGCATGCATTATGACACATTTAATGCCTCGGACTCAGGTTCCACTGATGCATCTTGGGAACTTTTCTTCCATGAATGTCTAGTTTGTTCTTTATTGAGCCTTGTATCCGTTTGTTGCAGTTTGATATTTTTGTGCAAGTTCTCCAAGCAGATGGAGGTAAATCCCGGTGCCTCATTGCAGTCATAGGTCCCATATGATAATGTACTTTCAGATTATGTAATAAATCAATGCTGCCCTGTTTCCCTTCTATGTGTGTGTGCATATTTGGTCCTGTTTCATTCAAGGTATTTGTAGATCCAGGCTTGTTTTCTGAAAAACTGAAGCCTCCTCTATTCATTTCATGTACAGGGTACTATGAACCACTTTTATTTGAATTTAAAGTTGTTAGTTTTTTAACTACTATTGAGGTAGGTCATGTTTGAGGGTCAAACTACGCTGCAGGCAGTACGTTAATAGTTATTGCTTTTGTTGCATCTTATTTTAATAGAATATGTGATCGATAGTGTTCACAAAGCACCATGGTTGTCCCTGTTATCTGTGTTTCGGTCATTATGTTAACTATTTTGCAAAGACTACTGGATTTCAACAGGTTACTTCACTGTTTTACTTAAAGAATAGAAAGATCTATCCTCGTGTTTGATTTTTATTTTATTTTATTTTATATTTGGCAGGAACTAGATCTGCATGTATCAATGCTGCAACCCTGGCCCTTTCAGATGCTGGAATTCCAATGCGCGATCTTGTTACTTCTTGTAGTGCCGGTTACCTTAATAGCACACCTCTACTTGGTAAATTTTTACGTTACTTTATGCTTGTACAGCTCCTACAATGCCATTGTACTAATATGATATTGTAATTCTCATGTGAGCTTATTGTCGCTGGCTTGTCAGATTTAAACTATGTAGAAGATAGTGCTGGAGGTGCTGATGTCACTTTAGGTATTATGCCGAAGTTGGACAAAGTGACTCTTCTTCAGGTAATCTGTCGTATGCGTTTCGCAATATATTCTCACAAGCTTAAGTTACAATTATTGTGGTAGTTGGCATCTACAGTGTCTTCTCTAGCGCGTTTTGTAAACCACTTATTCGTGGTGATCTTTGATGCAGATGGATGCTAAATTACCATTGGATATTTTTGAAAATGTAATGCAACTTGCAATTGAAGGCTGCAAGGCGGTTGCAACATATATTCGAGAAGTAAGCATCTTTTTGCTTATTTTCCGCCCCTCCAGTGATAAGTTCTGCCGTGTCATGAGGCCTCTGTTTGAATGACAGGTATTACTAGAGAATACAAAGCAATTGGAGTATCGACGAGGCACCTAGTTTCAAATCATGGTAAGGCCATGTACATCGTTTGCTAATTGTTTTGGAAATTTGATACGTTTTAACAGTCACGGACAGTCACCCACTTACTCCGGTTTCAAGGTTTTATTTTCTATCCACCTGTAGATTTGTGGTTGTTCGTATGGAGTTCGAGGCGGCTGTAACATGAAGACGGTGTTTGATGGAGGAACAAGGCTTAAAATTAATGGGAACTTTAACGAAAAGCACCTGGTACTGTTCACTTTAACGAAAAACCACATTTTTACACTAAAAAGTCAATCCTGTTACTATTTACTTTACCCTTTATTTTGTCCTTATTATTAAAACTCAAAGTTTTCAAGCTCTTTTCATTAGTTTTCCTTTAAAATTAAGCATACTCAGTTGAAGTAACGAGAGAGCTGTTTTTAGATTCTGAAAATTGTATTTGTAACATCCACAATATGGGCTCTTCTTGTAAATGAATATCCTGACTAAAAGATTTTATATCAAAGAAGATACATGTAACCAAGGAAGTCTATAACTAGGGTGACCCTCATTCAGAAAATGTTCTCCTGTTCTCGAAAAAATACATGATCACTCACAATCAGATTGGATATTAAAGTGGAGAACGAATAGATATGATTTTTAATATTTTAATTTCAACGATTTATTATGCTACTTGCATAAAATAAGCTACCGTTACCACTGTGCTTCCCTAGCTTTTTATCTTTTCTGGATCCACTTTGTGGGGATCTTAGGGATCCCCACGTCCTAACTGTTCATCGTACATTGTGTGGTTAGTTTTTGTCAGATATTATTTGTGTTTAATTTTAAATAAAAAAGGTCAAATGACTTCCGACATTACGATACATGATGAATGGCTAAGATGTGAGGATCTCTAGATGGGATTCAATCTCACTCTTTACACCAATATTATTTGTAATTAAATTGTTAATATTTATTTAAACCCAAATTTACTACCTAACCACCCTCACAAATCCAATTCAAAAATGTTAAATTTATTTTTACACCCATTTAAAATATAAAAGATCAAAATCAAATGAAAAGAGCTGGCATGCGAAAACAATGACACAAAGTAAGTAGCTGTTGTTGGTTTGGCTAATTAGAATTTAGATTGCAGAGCAAAGACCAATATTATCAGTATGATATTATACAGACGCACACATGAAAAAAATAATTAATCAATGTTGTCTATTATCTAACTATTATAATCTTCAACTCTCATTAGGTAGTAGCAGTTGGATATGTAATTCAATAAAAATGAAGCACAATGTTACGGTCGTGTTATGTAATTAAGAAGTAGAAGACTTGGTAATGGTGTTCAAAAAGAACAAGAAAGGTTTTTTAGCCAAAATGATCCCTAAGATTTGTATAACTCATCACTTTGGTCCCTAAGATTTAAAATCAATATTAGTGGTCTCTTAGTTTGTCTATCATCAATTATTTTGGTCATTCCCTAAAAAATTAAGGACCAAATGACAAAAATACCCTCAATTTAATAAACAATGGGCCGAAATGATTTGACAAAAATTGATTATGGACCACTTCTATTAATTTCAAATTTCAATGATCACTTCTATATGAAAGTGTCTTAGGGTTTTTGCCAGAACAGAACGTGGGAGAAAAATTATGTAACGGTTATTTTTCTTGTAATTTTATCATGTACTTGATGGTAATTATGTAACAGGGTAACAAAGACATTTCACATTTAAAGTAAGTTGAGTATAAAAAGAGGTTATTTGGGTTCAAATTAAATTTTCCGAAAATTTAAGGGGAAGAGATGCTACCTCAACCCAGTGCCAGAGCATACAACAAATTTCTTTGAGGATTTATAGAGGAGGTCTACAAATTGCTCACCAAAATGGATTGTCAACAAGGGGACTTGAACCTAGGTCTTTTTTTAGTGAAGAGAACGTTCTTTAGCAACTCAACCAATTTTCGTTGGCAATGATATTGATACTTTTAACCTAATTAAGAGGAGAAAAAGATTTGAACTCGAGACGTAATAAATTGAAAATGAAAATTCCATCCACTAACAATTCACCACTTGCTACCCTATAAAGATGTTAATTACTGTAACTAAGTATGTAAATGGTGTTTTTTTTTTGGGATACTTTGGATACGGTCCCTAACTATCAATATTCTTTGATTGAAACCTTGTTAGTTTTTAGTTTTTGATTGAGGTCTCTGACATTAATGTAATAATGTAAGTTACTATATTTTTTAAATTAAAAATTAAAAATTGAAAATTGTAATTGTTTATATTAATGAGATTTTAAATAAAACCCATAATTTATGGGATTAAAAATAATAAAATATAAATTATACTCTCTATTATATTGTGTGTGTATACATATATGTATGGGTACATTAACCAAAATTAACAAAAAAAGTTATTGTACCAAAACATGGATACATTCTCAAATCAATGAAAAAGAATGTACCCATATAAGTTTAAACATGGATTAAAAAATTTGAATGGATTTTATATTAAAAAAGGGTACATTTTACATATAACAAATTGATATATATGAGAATGGGTACATTGATGATTAAAAAAATTGAAAAAATTATATGAATGGGTACATTTAAGATTAAAAAATTGAGAATCTTTTATATAATTATATATATATATATATATATATATATATATATATATATAACTAATAGGTACAAACTTAATTTAATTTAATTTTTTATTATTTTGAAAATGTTTGAATTGAAAATTAATTAGAAGTTTAATAGAGGTGTGAGTATTAAACCCTAAATTAATTACTAATTTTTATATTAAAAAATTATATAATAAACATGTAAATTCATTATCACATTAATGCTAGGGACTTGAATCAAAATTTGAGAACTAATAAGGTCTTAGTCAATGAACAGTAAGAACTAGGGACCGGATACTAATTTTTCCTTTTTTTTTTTTTAACGCTTTGGGCATCTTGTGTCCTCAAGTTGATTGATGAGCCGAAAAAAAAAGAAGGAAAAAGATTAAACTTCTATTATTTCAAAATTTAAATCCTAATAAAGTGACCAAACCTAGGAATCCAACTGCTTATTGTTTGATTCCACGGTTAATTGCAGGACCCCTTTTGTTAGAGGATAAATACCCACAAATTCGAGGTGCTTTTACCAAGTACAAGCATTTGGACCCTCAGGTATGGTATTTTTGGCTTGCTTGAAAATATTTTTAGAAAGATACGCAATTTGGTCATAAACACTTAGACGAAAATGCTTCATGTCAAATATTTAGAAGTTAAATCTCAAGTACTTTTTTGAAAAATATTTAGAAATGCCTCCTCAAGAACTTAAAAGAGCTTCATGAAATAATAAAAACCTTGCAGATGATAACCCTTAACAATTCTACGTTTTCTTCCAAAAGTTGTCAAAATGCTTTTGAATATTTCAAATCATTTTAAAAACAGACCTTATACATTGTGGAAAGGATCAAGAGATTTTTGTATTTTGGGAACACCATAGTTAGTCATATTAATTTGGATGACCAATATTACATGTAAGACCAAACCTAACCTTGGGCTAAATACTATTTTTTAGGTTTTCTTCCAAAAGTTGTTAAAAATGCTTTTGAATATTTCAAATCATTTTAAAAAAGACCTTATACATTGTGGAAAGGATCAAGAGATTTTTGTTTTTTGGGAACACCATAGTCATATTAATTTGGCTGACCAATATTATGTGAAAGACCAAACCCAATCCTGGGCTAAATACTATTTTTTAGATTTTATTCCAAAAGTTGTTAAAAATGCGTTTGAATATTTCAAATCATTTTGAAAAAGACCTTTGTGGAAAGGATCAAGAGATTTTTGTTTTTTGGGAACACCATAGTTAATCATATTAATTTGTTTAACCAATATTATGTGTAAGACCAAACCCAACCTAGACTAAATACTATTTTTTAGGTTTTCTTCCAAAAGTTGTTAAAAATGCTTTTGAATATTTCAAATCATTTTAAAAAAGACCTTATACATTGTGGAAAGGATCAAGAGACTTTTGTTTCTTGGGAGCACCATAGTTAATCATATTAATTTGGCTGACCAATATTACGTGTAAGACCAAACCCAACCCTGAGCTAAATACTATTTTTTAGGTTTTACGAGAAAATATGCATACGCGTTGCTGCAGGAACCTGTTGTTTCAAGTGTAATCGGATGAATAAACACATTTAAGTTGAATAAATTCAACACAATTATAAACAAATAGAGGGATACATGAATGAATGGGGTCGATAAGATAAGCAGATTTTTTTGTATATACATTCAAGTGAGCTGACATATAAACACATTGTACAATAAGTGAGAAGAAACTGAACGTATTTGATTAGAAAGAGATGGTTTCCAAAAAAGTTTTGTTTCCTTAAGAAACAAAGAAACTTGTAGTTCACAAATAAAATTTTAGTTACCAAATCAAAAAAAAAATGTGACTCTCTATATGGCTTTCTTACTACACAAAAATATCCCTTAGTTAAAGCATGCCACACATCATCACATTGCTATTATATGAAGTATATTCCTCAGTGGCAATTTGACCATCGTTGTGCATGTCATGTCTACTCTATGCAACTTAATATATAAAATTTAATCAGCCCCAAACAGTCTCCAAAGCATCTACAAACCATTAACATTATTTCCCCAATTTTATTTCCCAATTTTATCAAATGCTGCATAAACAATCACAATTTACTCCCTTACAATTTCCACCTAACTCCGAACAAACAATATTGATAAAGGTTGTACCCAGTGCACAAGACTCCCGCTTTATGCAGGGTCTGGGAGAGGTGAATGTCGGCTAGCCGTACCCCCATTTATGGAGAGGCTGCTCCCAAGTCTTGAACCCGAGATCTACCGCTCATGGGCGAAGGCACTTGCCATCACACCTAACTCCGAACAAACAATATTGATAAGAAAAAAAAAAGTTCCTATGCAAACAAATTCTTCTAGATGTCCAACCTAATCCATATATGGGAAGGCAAGCAATCGGACGAGCAGTCAGACCAAGCAAAATAAATTTTACAATTTATCAAAACAGCAACTGATTCTCCCGAAGAAAACGCACACACATACCAACATATTATTCATCATATTCTAAGCTTTCATTTTCGTTCTATCTCTTTTGTTATCTAAACTTATAATTATCAAAACAACAATAGAATCATAGAGAAACTTTCAATCATTTATCAAAACTGAATTAATTAAACTTCTGCTCAGCAGTCCGTTAATTTTAATTGCAACTCTCATTCTAAAATTTTAAAATTTTGCATTTGAATAATCAAATGCACTTAC